AGTAGACTCATTTTCACAAACTCCAACTGCAAGTGAAAAAATCCCTTGATTAGCATCAATAGCTACGGCTGCAAGTAATATTCCTCCAAATGGCCCTTTAAGAAAACATCCATCCAAACCAATAAAAGGTCTACACCCAGTCAAGTACCCTTGTTGTTGTGCTTTCAAGCATAAAAAGAATCTCTTGAAATGGAGTAGAAAATCTGCACCAGGAGACCATCCTTGAACTAATGCAGTTGACCCCGGGTTCTTTAGCAGTACAATTTGACAATATTTGCGAATCTTGCGGTAACCTACAACATAATCACTAGAGCACATTTTCTTTACTGCAGCTTTTGCTCTATAAAGTGTTAGATTACTCGCTTCCACGCCTTGCTTTTCCAGCAAAAGGGTTTTCAGCACTTGAATTGGTAGTTCGGGATGCCTCCTTAATAGATCTAAATACTTATTTGCAATCCATTTTGCATCAGCCTCCACATTCTTCTTTGATCTAATACATGTATGTTTTCTAATATACGTCTTCACTTGAAATGTGGTCAAATCTGCGAGTCTTGAGGCGTGAATTCTCCACTTGCAATTTTCTGCGGCACACACACAGGTAACTCCTGATTTCTCATTTTTTATCCTTGAAATGGTCACTCCTTGTATTGCATAGTCTTTGAGTACACTTCTAAACTTATCAACACTATGAACATGTCTCCTCTTTTGAAGAGAACTTTTCCGTCCAAACCTAGCTGCCACATCCTCCCCTTAATATGTCTTTTCACCTTTGAAGCTATGAAATCATCGCCTTCACTGTCAAATTCGGTTTCTGAATTATCATCGCCATCTGATAAGTCCATCATTCTTGCATTATTTGGAAGCTCAATATCTTCATAATGTCTCTCACATTCAGAACCTTCTTTTTCCACCTCAGTAACTTCATTTATATTTATTTCAGCATCCTCATTATCGCTCCAATCAAATTGCTCATTAGGATCATGATCCCAATCTTCAAGGCGAGGTTGCACATGGGCCCCATGGTTTTTTCTATCACCGTACTTGTTGCATATCCCATGAATAGATTGGTCTTCAATATAGCTGTCAAGCTCAACCTCTTCCTCATTAGTCCCTGTATCTGCTCTAGGACCTTGCTCTACATCAGTTTGAAGGAGGCATGTGAAGGGAAAACCAGGATGTTCTATACTAAGTGGCAGCCAGTCAATCTCAAAGTTTACATTTTTCAACCGACGAGCTTCATGGTCATCATAAATACTCAGAAGTTGCCTGTCAGTCAGTATTTCTATCTTCTCATCATTCAAAGGAGATGTTGCGTACACAACATACAACTCACTACCATCTAAACACAAATTCAGCGCCTTGCTTTTCACACAATTAACCATATCGATCAAGCTAGTGTTCTCACTGTCCAAATTCTTAAAGTGATACAAACTCCCATTGCACAAAACTTGGACATTGAAAATTCCCATTCCTAAAAGAGAGAGGAAATGTAAATCAACTTATTAAAATCATTTAATATGAAATATAATGTGTGTGACAAAACATTAATAAATCAAAATTTTCCAATGAATTCGGGAAATAAATAAATTTTCTACTATCAATAAATATAAGTAAACTTTAAGATGAGTAGAGAACTGTGTTAAGCAAATTTTAAAAATTCCCAGCATGCACGGAGTACATTCAAGAACATTCTTTATTGAGAATAATAGCATAAATACATATAAACATTTTTGTCTTTCATAAAATATAATGCGACTTAAAAGATCAGAAGTTAATTAATATCTGGTACTTACTAGCAAAGAACATATCAGTTATTCACCAATATAGTAAGTGTTTTATAAACTCTCTGTTTTATGTGTCACTCTTGTTTTGACTAACCTAGTTAGGAGTATTTTTCTGGAACTTCCTCAAAATCCAGACTATGATGTCAAATATGCTAACAAATTTCTCATCATCAGGAATGACAAAAGGAATTATTCTCAATCAAAAAACTGAAAAAGAAAAGGCAAAGTTTGGAATTAAAAAGTATCAATCCACATTTATCCTTTAACAAATCCATAGTGCTCATTATCTCTAACCTAGTGACGTTGGAGACATTAGAGAAGAATAAGAGTCCAAAAGCATGAGTGCTGGAGGAAAAAACCATATTACATAATTGGCCTCTCAAATACGATAGAATTTATTAGCTTAAAGGAGTAAACATATTTAAGATTCTAATAGATTGAGATAGTGAATCGAACTAATGAAAAGTCATACCTGTTTCTACTGCTACTACAGAAAGAGCATTTTCAGCAATGAAGCATGTGAAGACGGCACTTCGTAACAAAATGGGAGATGATTTTCTTGAAGATTCATGATGATCTACATTGAACGGGATTTGGCCAATAAGATAGATGTAGATTCTATTATTGATGAATTTTATACTTGAAGTCGCGTAGGGCACAACTTAAATGATGTTTTGATGAATATTTAAAGTGTTAATGACTAGACTTATTATTACGTATGTGTATTTCAATTTTTTCCCTAGCCCACCCCATTATAACTTTCTGGATCCGCCCCTGTAACAGTCTGATCCTTCCTCCTCAAAGCTTGATTATAACTTGCTATCTGCGCGCAATTTTTCCTTTACTACTAGTTTAGTTTTGCTTTTGTGAGCTTTTAATAAATGGATTTGGTTTTAAATCTGAATTGTTGGATTCACATTTCCTTACTTTTCATCAGTTGCTGATTTAGTCCGATATACGTTAGCAGATCTTGAAATGGCGACCTTCGAGCTTTATAGGAGATCAACGATTGGTATGTGCTTGACGGAGACGCTAGATGAGATGGTATCCAGTGGCATCCTTAGCCCGGAGCTTGCCATCCAAGTCCTTGTTCAGTTCGACAAGGTATATTGGCATTACAATTGTTATTATGCTTTCTAATCATTCAAAAATATTCATTCTTTGCTAGATAAGCTCGGAATTTATTTACTTTAAATATGCGAAGTGTGCAGTAGCTTGCTTTTGTGCGTGACTGCGTGTTTATGGATGAAGATGTCTGTATGACAGATATCTCCATATTGTCGTGATTTTCTTCTCTTTTAAGTTTAGTATTTCGTTCCTCTTCATTTCATGGCCTATTCGCTAGTGGGTATTTTGATGCAGTCCATGACTGAAGCTTTGGAGTCTCAAGTGAAGAACAAGGTCTCCGTCAAGGTACACTTTAAAATTCAGCCTATACTAGTCAAGGAAAAAAGTCGTGCTGTGACTTTTTTATGGTGGAATTTTTTTATCCATTGTAAATAACAGAAATATAGCATCTTTTTGCTTTCTTTGTTTGCTTTACATGCAATTGTCCTTATCACATTTTATCTGTGTATCGCATAATACATATTGGAGTATGATTTTACAGTCATGTGGCATATTGATCCTAACACAAGATTTCCCTTTTTTGGGTATTAGGGGCATCTTCACACATATCGGTTCTGTGACAATGTTTGGACTTTTATCTTACAAGATGCTGTGTTCAAGAGTGATGAATGCCAGGAGACTGTTGGACACGTTAAGATTGTGGCATGTGATTCAAAGCTTCTCTCCCAGTAGTGAGATACGTTTGCAAATGACGAAAAAGAAAACCATTAAACAGAGTTTTTCAGTTCTGTTGTTTCATAGAAATTCGATACTACTAATGAAGAAATATGAAAAGCTGGGGGTTTCATCTTTTGGCCATATTTCCCAGGCCAGGGATGAAATTGCAATACCTTTCTGTGTCAACCTCGCAAGCCTCTACAATGTTAACTTCACTTCATTCCGCCATAGTCTCCTTTTGTCCCTTTGTACTATATGGCTTAGTTCAAGTGTATCATCCCATGCTTTGGCGTGCTGAATTCTGAACCATTCGCCTTATTTCATGTATTTATTCTCTATTTTAATGAGTGGATGATTGCCATTTCAAGTTAATCGTTTCCCGGACTTGAATTAGTGTCTGGATTTTAGTTTGTCTGACATATTTGCTATCAGGTAAACTTTGTAAATGTCAGTTGATACATAATGTAATTGGAACTGATATCATATTTCTCCGAGCTTTACATTTATTTCTATATTTTAACTTTCAAAATCCGAACTATGTAAAACAAATATTGTATCGACTGACCTGATATTTTAATGGTATTTATTATCACAATTGTACTTACAAATTAAGCCTGACCAGTGACCAGAATCTCTCCCACTAGAATCGTACAGGTAACGTACATGAGACTAGAGAAAACAAGAACGAATGACTACAAAAATATCAAGCAACTAAACTATTATCAAAATTCCTCCATTAGAAATAAAATGTTACATTAAGAAACAGTTTGTACTTAAATAAACAACGCGGAATAATAATAAAAATAGACTCAAGTAGTCATTCAACTAGTAGACTAGTAGTAAACTAGTAACTCTAGAAACATCAAAAGCAGAAAAACGAACAAAGCAAGAAGTGAATATAATGAATAGAATATACGAAGTATACAAATAAACTCAATCGTCACAAATGAACAGAAAATCCAATATCTTTTGCTTAATATAAATAAAATATTGAAAATAAATGAAATGCTTCTTCAAAATCAAACATTAACAATGAAAGGTAAACATAACGTCAAAAGTGACTGATAATATACTAATATTAGAGGTAGAAACAATATGAACATGTTGCATGAGAGAGGTAGAAACATAAATATTAGTAAGCAAAATCTTTCTTCTTATTTGAACGGTTTTATATGGTTACGATAATTTTCTCCACAATGTCAAGAAGAATGTCTAAATGTAGACATTGTGGTTACATTATTACTAAAATTATACAAAAACATGAAAAGAATGAGAAAGAACCTTCAATGACACATCTACATCGTGCACATTATTGCAATGGAGTTGCTCTTATACTAAAAAAATTATTTACAAAAAACTCTTCGTTTTATGGTTCATTTCGGCACATATTTCTATTTCAGATAATTTGCTATTTCCAAAATCTCACGAATGCAATTCATTCTCATTTTTATTTGATCATATTCTCCGAATCTCCGTCCATCCTTTTCATTTTTATTTGATCACATTCTCCTTTCATCAAAACTGATGGATTATATGAACTTCGACCCCCTGGTCTGCCGACTACTGGGCTTGGACAGCGGCCCACACACGTTTAGCGGATATCACTGATATTATTGTACATTATTATTATTGAGATATTCTAGATTGACTTTTTATACTATCATTTCATTTATGTAACCAGGTCTCTCGGGTCCATATTAGAGGCCCAGACCCGGATTTCCCTATATATACTCCCTTATGGGAGGCTTGTAAAGATCAAGAACTCATACATAGTAGTTCATACTCAAGAATCCATTCAATATTATACACATTCTTATTCTCCATTACTCTTCTTGTTCAAAATCTCTCTAGATTATAGGTTATGAGTATCAATTATCCAACAAAAACTATATGGATTTTTTGTCACTTTTAGTCCTCTTCCTATTACTCCGTATGTCATTGACACTTTTAGTACTCTGACCTTGATTTTTTCACTTTTAGTGCTCAACTATTGCGCTAGAGACACTTTTGCTACCCGTCTTCGAAAATTTTCATATTTTGTCTTCCGACTTTCATAAAAGTGACGCATTTGGTCCTTCAACTATTATAAAAATGACATTTTAGTCCTCCACTTATTTTGTCAAAATTGGAATGGAAAGACTAAAAGTGTCAATTTGATAATACTCAGGGGACTAAATATGAAAAAATTGAAGTTGATGAGTAATGGTGTCTCTAGAACAATAATCGAGAACTAAAATTGGAAAAATTAAAAATCGAGTACCAAAAAGGTCAATAAGACATTATTCATTCAGAGGATGGAAAATGGAAAAAAAATCATACGTGTGTGTGTCTGTAATACGCATGTCAGGCATGTGCACAGCACACATAAATACAATTAAATAGACATGAATTAAGTAGTATATACACCAGATTAGTAACATCTCAAATGACTGAAATGAGCTAGTATAATTCAGTTACTCCCTGTTATATTTTGCGTCGACACGGTTTTTATAATTTCATTTGATATCAAATTCCATAATTTAAATTACCTGATTGTTATATATTTTTGAGTGAGAATGGGAAGGAAATAAACGTCATAATAAATAATGTAGAGTCAACTTATATGAAATTTATAATGTGTTAATATGTTATGTATATATACTTTGTCAACTTTCTTTATTAAGTAAACAATTTGTAGTTTCACTTAATTCCTTTTCCTTTATACAAATCCCAACCACACAATTGCTCTTTTAATTATCTATGTGGGTCAAACTTGACAAAGTTTTATGTGACGGATGAAGTATTTTCTTCGTCTGACAATTCCTTAATGTAAGTTGGTTACTAATTTAAAGCTAAATACATTCGTAGTTTCTTAGTTAAAAGTTAACTAAGACGGGTGAGGCATGGGCCTCAGGGCCCCAAAAACGAGAGAAAGTGGCACGGTTATTAATAAACGTGAGTTTATGTGGGACATATTGAATTGATAAAGTAAGAATAAAGTAGGAATGATTTAGAACCACACAAACTTTACCAAATAAGGTATGAGACAATCTTAGTGGGACGGACCAAAATGGTAAAATGGGACAATCATAGCGGGACGGAGGGAGTACAATTTTAGGGCCCCAAAATTTAAGATATTTTTATAGTATACATATGTAGAGAACTTATCTGGTCAGGCGCGCCTGACCATAAATTTTTGAAACGTACTACACATTCTGCACATTCTGATCATAAAGTTGTGGTGTGAATTGTGATTTTTTGTGTTAGAGACTTTAGAAGTAGTTTGTGATTGAATTTAACAGTTAACTATTAATCAATATTCATATACATACGTAGTATGAAATATGCTAACTATTAAAGCAAACAGATCCCTGTCCGCACTCAAATTATTATTATTTTTAAAATTACATATTCAGAAACTACATTAAAATCTTTACAAAGTCTCATACACCTGGATTAAATTTGATTAAAATTTGATACACAAAGTAAGAGATTAAGAGTGATTTGTGTTGACCAAGTGAATAAGAATTCGTACCATCAAATTGGGACGGAGGTAGTATTTGATAACTAATGCACTCTTTTATGTCTTTATATATAAATAACCTTCTGCTAGAGTGATACCAATATAAAAAATATATTTTATATGACTTTCTTAATTCTTAAATCGTAATACTATTATAGGTAGTTGCAGATTTTAGATTGTTAATTTTAACGGTTAACACAAATACAATAATTCACAATAACATTTTTTTAGGAAAAAAATTCACAATAACATTTTAGCACATTCAAAGAATACAATCATTATTAGTCAAAGTCATCACCAGTCAATTGCGAGGTAGCATCGCTGGTTTGAGAGTAACTCTCCTAGGGCCTATCACAAATCCTAGATGCCAGCGGCGGTGAGATTGTATCCTGCTACCCAAACAAACTGATTTCTCTGCTGCTATTTTATTGGAATTTCTAGTCTAACAGTCTGGATTCGCCCTTTGGGCTGAGTTTTTAACTCAACTGATCTCTGGCGTTCAGACCTTTCGGATTCCTCCCCTCTCCAATGGGGAAGGGTAGGACGCATACCCCAATGAAACGTAGTAATCAACCAAAGGCTAAGGTTACAGGAAGTCTACAGGTTGCTGATAACTCTAGAAATACTGGAAAGGATGTATCTATGCTTGAGGCTGAGGAAATCATTGTTGAAGATGATATTGAGGTGATTGATGAACCCCAGGATATAGCTGCAGGATGTGCAGAAGAAGGGAACATATCTAAGGCTGAGGAAACAACAAAGTCTCCTGCTGCACGCCAACTGTTTGATTTAAATACTAAACCAGCTGCAGCAACCAACCCAAAACCGTCGTGGGCAGGGCTATTCAAGGATAATAGGGCACCATCTAAAGGCATGAAGCTGAGGTTTATTGAACCTGAAGGTGATGTTGTAGATTTGCGCGATGACGAACTTGTAAACCTCCACGAAGTATGGGGTTATTGCCTTGTAGGCTTTCTCACTGGTAGATTTCCTGGCATGCATGCAATGAATCTACTCATGGAGTCATGGCATGTTCAATGCAAACTCCTTCCACATGATAAGGGGTGGTTCGTTTTCCAATTTAAAAATGAAGAAGATAGAGCGAAGGTTCTAATGGAGGGGCCATATGCGGTGATGGGCAGGTCCTTAATGCTAAAAAATCTGGCTGAAGGTTTCAGATTCGACGATGAGGAATTCCTTAAGGTCCCTATATGGATAAAATTTCCAAGGCTCCCTTTGGACTGCTATAACGAAAAAGCCATCAGCAAGATAGCTTCAAGAGTTGGTAATCCAATTTTTACTGACGGGGTGACAAATGAGAAAACAAGGGTGCACTTCGCCAGAGCTTTGATAGAGGTTGATATATCTAAACCCCCTCCCCTGTCTATTGATCTTAGACTACGCTCTGGGAGTAGGTTTAAACAATTTGTTATTTATGAGACATTTCCAAACTATTGCTTCCATTGCAAGAAGTTTGGCCATCACCCATTTACCTGTAAGGTGTTGCATGAATTAGAAAGAGAACATAATGGAAATAATAAGGCTCCAGTTAAAGAACCAGAGGAGCAAACTACTAAAGCCCCTAACCTGGTGAAAGGTGCCTGCAATTGTGACAAGGTGCACCCAAATAAGAAGATCCAGGCCACAATTACTGAAGTACATGATAAGGATGCAGTGATTGATTCAATAAGTGGAACGACAGAGAAGGTACAACTGGGTGGTAGCTGTAGTGTGGCGGAAGGTAGGGGGGGTGGAACTCCTCTAAGTGCAAATTGTAGACAAGCTCGGGTAGCCAACAGTTACCAAAGTGCTGGTATAAGGGCTCCAGTACAGAAGCAGGTTGCTGTATTTGGGAAACATGTACCTACAGGAGGAAGTACTGGTGGGCAGAACCAAGCTGACCCCATTGGACAACATAAAAAAGACACGGATAGAGTTACAAAAGGAGTGAGCAATGCAAACTCTGAAATAGCGACTCTCAAACCGGCGAGTCAACATCCTGTGAAAGAAGGGGTTCAGAATGCAACTACTAAACAAAAACAAAACAGTACTAAGGTTGGAAAGAGTGAGGGAGAAGGAGGGAGCCTATCCTC